CTCAAAGTGAGGGAACCATCTGCCTTTCGTGGCGCTCTTCCGCGAAGGTTGGCGCGAGTCCGCCAGCTCCCTCACCAGGGCCGGAAAGACCCGCGGCACGTGCCAGAGCCGGACGCCCATGTCCATCGCAGCAGCCGGCGCCTTCTTGAGCGAGAGCGTTAAAGCGCTCAGAGGATATTAGGGCCTGGTGGGTAGAAAACCTGACTCTTCTGCTTGCACTGTGGCGGATTTTTACTTTTGTCTTATTTCAGGCAGAAATTGCCCCCCTAACTTCCAAATTTCAGGACTGAACATTGTTCACCGAATACACTTTGTGATGGTGAGGATACTTTGGAGCCAACACACATTTTAAAAGCAGTATAGTTTTACCTATCTGTAAACGCATCAAGTTCAAGTACTACTCTGTGGAGTTTAATTTTTATGGTTTTGTTAATTTACTTTATTACTGGTTATTTATAATTATTTCAACTCCCATTCCCCCATTGTCTTTTCCTCTAAACTCCCCCAGGCCTACTATTCCATCTACAGCACAGTAGAGTTGATCATTAATGACTAAAGTTGAACTGATTATATGAAGGTGATGCCTTCAAAATAAACGTGCTCAAATGCATCAAGTCACCAGAAGTTAAGTAATAAGGAAACAAGTTTGTTTCCAAAGGCTTACATGCTTTTTACGTTATTTTTTAAAGTAATGTTGTTTAAGAATTATTACAAGTTCCATTAGTGACTTGCTAAATTAGGAATCTTATCTGGATTTTTTTTCAGATAATAACAGCAAAAACATATGTGGTGGTTAACATGTGCCAAACATTATTCTAAAGCACTTTACAGTATTTATTTATTCTTTTTATTAAAAAGATTTTGCCTCTAAGGGAACTGTCAGAGGTATGTGAACCAGAGCAACTCCATCTTAAATAGGAGCTGAGTAAAATGAGGTTGAAACCTACTGGGCTGCATTCCCAGACCGTTAAGGCATTCTAAGTCACAGGATGAGATAGGAGGTCAGCACAAGATACACGTCATAAAAACCTTGTTGATAAAACAGATTGCAGTAAAGAAGCCGGCTAAATCCCACCGAAACCAAGATGGCCATGAAAGAGACCTCTGGTAGTCCTCACTACTACACTCCCATCAGCGCCATGACAGTTTACGAATGCCATGGCAGTGTCAGGAAGTTACCCTATATGGTCTTAAAAGGGGGAGGCATCAATAATCCACCCATTTAGCGTGTCATCAAGCAATAACCATAAAAATGGGCAACCAGCAGCCCTCAGGGCTGCTTTGTCTGTGGAGTAGCCATTCTTTTATTCCTTTACTTTCTTAATAAACTTGCTTTCACTTTGCCCTGAATTCTTTCTTGCTCGAGATCCAAGAACCCTCTCTTGGGGTCTGGATCGGGACCCCTTTCCTATAACAGAATTACTGCTCTATTATTTTATACTTTGCATACTTCACCCATCCCACACTAATAAGGACAGTAATTTTTTAAAATGCTTCCTCAAGCCAGGCACTGTGGCTCATGCCAGTAGTTCCAGCTACCCAGGAGGATCGTTTGAGCCCACTGAGGTTGAGGCTGCAGTGAGCCATGACTGAGACACTGCACTCTAGCCCGGGCCACAATGAGACCCTGTCTAAAAAAAAAAAAAAGCTGCCTCAGCCTGCTTGCTACCATCCTGTTTTTATCACATACAAAAAGGTTCAAATTAGTATGACGTGTGCATGGTACTATTTTATTATTATTATTTGTAGAAACAGGTTCTTGCTGTGTTCCTAGCACTTACTTCCAACTCCTGGCCTCAAGTGATCTTCCAGTCTCAGTCTCCTAAAGTGCTGGGATTACAGGTGTGAGTCACGATGCCTAGCTACATGGTGCTATTTTAAACAGCTACATATTGAGTGGTCATTCAGACTTACAGGAAACCAGATATGACAGACTTGAACATGAGATTGAGTCTCTCTTACTGCAACAGCCATTCTCAAATAGAATTTCTCTCCAAAATATCAATGTTAGAATTTAAATTTTCTTTGAGTTGACATAAAATTTAAATGTCTACCGATAGAAGGTTGGTTGAATAAACTATGGTTTATCCATAGTGTAAAACTATGCATGCATAAAAAGGAATTGAGAAATATCTCTATACACTACAGGATATTGAGTGGGAAAAGAATATGTAATATGTAAATACCATTTTTATAAGAGGAAAATGTATGTATACATGTGTATACACATATATGTTTACTAATTATTATTTTACAAGTAGATTAACATTTAAAATGACTATATGGGCAAGGAGGGAAGAGGAGGGGTATAAGGAACAAAGAAGACATGACTTTGTTTTTTGGTTTTTGTTTATTTGTGTGTGTGTCAGACAGAGTCTCATTCTTTTGCCCAGGCTGGAGTACAATGGTGCAATCTTGGCTCACTGCAACCTCCGTTTCCAGGGTTCAAGCAATTCTCCTGCCTCAGACTCCTGAATAACTGTGATTACAGGCATGTGCCATCATGCCTGAGGAATATTTGTATTTTTAGTAGAGATGGAGTTTCACCATATTGGCCAGGCTGGTCTCGAACTCCTGACCTCAAGTGATCTGCCCACCTCGGCCTCCCAAACTGCTTAGATTACAGGCACGAGCCACCATGCCTGGCCTGAAGACATGACTTTGGAGCCATGTAAATATGTTACATTATAAAGCAAAATTCTATTTTTAAAAAGCAATCCTTGAAAGTAAAATGAAACTAAATGAACCTAAATGTTTTCCAATTGTGGCATATACCCGGAGGAGCTATCCCAAGTGACTTTAAAACTTAATTTGTATATACTTAGTGGGATGTAGTCTCAGGACTAAAGTACAAAAAAACTCTTGTAGACTGCATTCTGTAACCAAATTGTTGGTGGCAATATTGGTATTGTGGGATACACCAAGTTGAAGTAATTATGATGGTACCTTTGAAGCTGAAATTTTTGACATGAGATAGAGATATGAAAGTTTAATCAGGCTGTATAAACATCCTGTAGTTCTGAATTTCATTTAGAGGCCTCAGTATGATTAACAGTATGGTTAATCTTTAAAAACACATCTCTCCTACATGCTTCATTGGAAAGGCCTAGAGACAAGCTACCCAGTAGAAAGAAGCACCCCCTTGCACTCACACTGTGATGTCTATAAACCATTTCCCATTAAAAGAAACACTGACTCTGTAGAACAATGGATGATCTTGGGTCTGGAGCAGGAAATGTACAAGATGAGCCTGCAATATCTTACATCGGGAAGCAGCAAAGCAATCAAAAGACTATTAGGGTCATATCAAAAGGACTCAGGAGCTACCTTGAAAACCTTCCTACCAGTCAAAGATAGGATAATTTAAAGAATAAATAAAGGTAACTAATTGGATGAAGGACAGCTAAATTTAAATAATTACATCAGACACAACCAGTCAACCAAACATGCAAGCCAAAAAGGTATCACCGTTCATTTTTAATGATAGAGGGAAACCACCTCTTATTCTGAAAACTGGTAAACAAAGGGAAAGAGTCAGGAATATTTATACTGTCTTTCCTATATGAATTATGATGCAAGTAACAAAATAACTGAAGTAAATTTTTTTTTGGAAACATTCCAACTACTAAATGAAAAAGAAATGACAATACCACTCCACAAGCTCTGTGAACTAATAGATTTAAGAAGTGATCATCAATGATTTCGTTATCACAACTGAAAAACCATGGGACATTATCTGTCTCCTGCTGGAAGAATATACTTCCACCTAATGAAGTATTTTTGTTGAAAAATAATTGCCTTTAGATTTAAACACAGGAGGCAGAACACACTAACAAAAGGTAAGAAATCAACATCCAGATGGAGGGAAACTCTACAGGACAAATGACCTAGATTTTTCTACAAATAAGAAACTCCATCGAAATTGCAAGAAGAAAAAGAGAGAGATGGAAGAATGCATTTCTTAAAAAAATTGAGACAAA